TTAAATGTCTAATAACAACTTGCTTATTAATTGCAATCTTCTTGCACTTTTCTGCAATAGCTTGTTTTGCTTTTCATTAAAAGGCAAATGTTTGATATATTTCTATCAGTAGTATATTAGCTTCTGGAGCTACTAACGGAGTACATTTTGTTCCGTGACAGAGAAAACACCAGTTACTATGTTTTTTATTGCTTATGTAAAGAGTTGCTATTTGTTCATATAGTTTTACCATTGAGAGAAATAGAATGATGGGAATGTAAAGATTGCAAAAACATTGATGTTTTTTTATTATCTCTGTGCTAATAAGACATCCACAGAAGTTAGGACTTGGAAGTTTCCTTAAGATTATATTCATATATGAATAATACAGGAGGTTACCACAAAGTCAGGACCCTTGTTTCCACACTATAAGACAAGAAGAGCAACATTGAATTTGATGGTGATCATAGGAATGAAGACATTCTTTAATGCAGGTTAAACTAATATGACATTAACACACAATGAGATTGCTTTTTCATGATGTCTGTATATATTATTTATCTACAAACAAAAAGAGATAAATGCTTAAAGTAAGTTGTCTTATTGTAGATTTGTTTGTGCCACTTTGTCTCAAGTGTTTTACAATAATCTCATGAAATTATACGTACCACTGTATAAGTTTATCTTTTGTGAATTTACAGTAATTTCTTAAGATGATCTTTAATAAAGTGCATCTTTTTTCATTATTTCAGTATGTTTCCAAAATCCTTAAAGGTAAGCTACCCATTGAACTATTTATTTGAGTCATGCAAATAAAAATTGATATTGAAACATGATATGTCTTTGTGATTTAAATCCACTCTATGACTTTCCTGATAAAGTAGTATAGAAAGCTCTACCAGAGCCTACAGTCTCACTGTTCATGCTTGCTTTATGATTAGACTTGCATCGTGTTGGTGTGCTGGCAGAATGGTCCACAGTTTGGAATCATGCAAAAGTATGTACTGTGCAGGGTTTTACTTTTGGAGAGTTTGGGATGGACAGCAGTCATAAGGGATGAGCCCAGATTACTGGTGTCACTGTGGATCCACAGATGCCAAAAGAAAATATACTGCAAGCTCATTTTTCCCCAAAAGAAAAGGAAAAGGTAATCATATACATAAAAGTGTGGTGTTCACTCAAATTGTCCACACTCAGATAGGAGGACCAGAAATGTTAGAGTGGTATATCTACAAAGCAGAGAAACAGAGTTAACACCAAAAAGAGAATTTCAAGAGAATCTCACTTTAAAAGATCAAGAGAGGTACTGGACAGAAGGTGAAAAAATAAAACAAAATAAAAGTAATAGAAAAGAATTGTAAAAAAATACATAAAATAAATGACTGATAGACTGAATAAGCCAAACTTTTAATGATTTCCTAAAGAAAATTAATTTAAAGTTTCATTTGTTTCAACTATGCAGCTGTTTCTTGATATTTCAGTAATCTCCCACATTAGATATATACATGTAATTTAGAGGAGCTGATATAGAATTGCTAGTTAATGAAAGAAGACCAATTCATAAAACATGTGAAAGAAATAATAAGTTTACAGCCTTGGTGGAATTGCTGTGATGATAGACTGAATTTTCAAAAGTGCTCTCATGTGTGGTATTGTTAGTATTGTACCAGAAAAGATTTCCCTACTATCTTTACTAAACTCTGGACTATCAATCACATTTTTCTGATAATATATAAAATAATATAACATAATAAAATATGTAATTAATATAATGTAATGGTTTTTACTAGAAATATATACCTATTCAGGTATGGAAAACAATTTCACACTACTTCCATTCTATAGAACACTGAATTGCTGAAAGAAATACCCTCATGTATAGACTACCTATAGAAATTACTCTTTTTTTAATTCTTTATTAATTACATTTTATTCACTCTGTATCCCCCCTGTGGTTCTCTCCCTCCTCCTGTCCCAATCCCTCCCTTCCTTCTCCCTCTGCATGCATGCCCCTTCTCAAGTCCACTGATAGGAGAGATCTTCTTTTCCTTCCTTATGATCCTATTCAGTTAGGTCTCATCAGGAGTGGCTGCATTGTCTTCTTCTGTGGCCTGGTAATGCTGCTTCCCCCTTAGGGGGAGGTAATTAAAGAGCAGGCCAATCAGTTCATGTCAGACACAGTCCCTGTTCCCATTACAATGGAACCCACTTGGATACTGAACTGCCATGGGCTACATCTGTGCAGGGGTCTTAGGTTATCTCCATGCATGGTCCTTGGTTGGAGTATCAGTCTCAGGAAAGACCCCTGTGCTCAGAGTTTTTGGTTCTGTTGCTCTCCTTATGGAGTTCCTGTCCTCTCCAGATCTTACTGTTTCCCACTTCTTTCCTAAGATTCCCTGCACTTTGCCCAAAGGTTGCCCATAAGTTTTGGCTTCAGCACTGATAGTCTGCAGGGCAGAGACCTTCAGAGGCCCTCTGTGTTAGGTCCTGACATGTTCCCTCTTTTCTCCTTCTTCTGATATCCATCCTCTTTGCCTTAGAAATTACTCTTTATTAAGATGTATTTGAATACATGAGGAAGGTCTGGAGTGTGGTTTGTTGTTGGGAGCAGCCAAGTCATATGATATCTTCCAAATGAATTAACTTTAGTAAAACAAGAGACAAGTGGAAGGGACAAAGAAAAAAAAATAGGAAAAAATGAATATTTCCTTCTTCAATTTTCTCCACTTGGCAATTCAGTCTTTTTAATAGTATGGGTTCCCACCAGACAATCTAAAGCTGTGGATCACACATTGTTTAACTTTGCCCTAGATAGCATGAACAGCTAGCAGATTCTTTCTTGTTTTATGGTACAAGAATAAGAGAGAAACGAGCATGTAAGAGTTTCAGGAAAAAGAAATAGAAAGAAAAGGGGAAAATCTTTCCATTCTAGAGATGGTTGAACAGCTCTTAACAGGACCACTACTGTTTATGTTATTGAATGCACTCTTAGATTATTAGATTTCTTTTATGGTTAGCAACAGAGGGTTTCCTTTATTTTTAGGCTTCCCAGACAGAAACTCTGATGAATATTAAAGTGAATATTTTGAAGGTATGTGTTTGGGGAAAGGGTGTTACCCAAATTGGCCTCAGAAGTGGGTATCATTTCTCAAATAGCTTCTTTTCCAACTGAATCAAATTGAAAATCTTGAGAAGACATATGGAGCAGAGGGACAATATGTATTCAGATTTGTCCTTTTGATTGATTTGAGTGTTCACAAAGCTTACATGAATTTCTCTTTTCCCATGAAGACCTTCATCGTTTAAGACTCTGAACTCTAGTATGTGGTTAGTCTATTGTTCATGCATCTAGAATAATTTTTTTGCTTCTTATGTTCTCCGTTTCACAGGGCTCTTCTCTTTTTATGATGTCATGTCATGGGTAAGTGCAGAGATAACAGTGGAGTAGCATAGTTAAATAAATTCGAAGCACTACTTCAAGAATACTTACCACAGTAGGTGAAAGCATTGTTTCATGAGTAAAATACATGACTTCAATTAATGTAACTTTGATTCCCATTCTTGTAAACAAACAAACATTCTCCAAACATTATAATACTATACAGTATTTTACTAATTTGTGTGCCACTTTATAAAAATAGACTATCATATCATGAAAAAAATCTATGGGTCACTCTAAATAGTGCTATAAGCTGTTTGAAATGGAATATGACCTCCAACTCCTTTCTCAGGCGAAACATTATTTAGTGCATTTTTTTTTTTTAATAAAGGTAGGAGTTAAAAGCTTTCTAAAAACAATAGACTAAACTCTGTAGCATCCTTGAGTGATGTTTTTAGATATTTCAAAATACATGCAAAATGGCAGAAACCATGTTCAAAACATTTTATGAATTCAAATAAAATTGGCATCTGTAAAAATATTTATTTAGCTTTATTTTATGCTTTTCTGTTTGATCTGCAGACATGCATGAAGTGGAAGTTTCTGGTTTCTTTGGAAACTCAGTTGTGTCATGTGAATATGTTTTATATTTTGTTCCCAAATGAGGGATGTGGACTGTTTCCCCACACACAGCCCCACGTAGAAAACAACCCTCATGAAAAGCACATGATGCTTGGCAGCTGAAAAATAACTTGTGCAAGGGGTGTGGTTTCTGTGAGCTAGAAAACATCCTCCTGTGGACTCTGAGAGGGATAAACAGAAACCCACAGTGAGACAGAGCGCAGAGAGAAATGCCCCAGAGAACTTTCCTTGCTGTTTTGGTGGAGCTTTGACACTTTGTGAACTCATGGGGTTTGGGCAGCTGCTTTTGCTGAGTGGTACCTGCTCTGTTGCTGTTGCTTGCTGTTTCCTGCTCATGCTCTGGTTTGATGCTTTGGGCTCTTTGATTGGACTGCTGGTATCCTGTTGACTGAGAATGGTATATCCCCAAATAACCCAACAACCTTAACCTGCAGGAAGTAGCTAAAGGAGATCCACAACCCCTTTCTCTACTAATCACCTACCTAAGGTCAGGGGTTGCAAGGGAGGGGTAGGTGTTTAAGAAACTTAAATAAAGTAAGTGTTTGAAAAATCTAAGCCTACACATGCACATATCCCATGTGGGTGCCTGATGTCTGCAGGTGTTAGAAAACCGCCTTGGTTCCAGAGAAACTCTAGCTAGAGATGGCTGCGAATGACCACATGGATGCTGAGAACCAAACCTCCATCCTCTGGAAGAGCATCATGTGTTTTTTAAGCACTGAGCTGTCTCCACACACTCCTGATTAATAATTTTTATTTATTCAAATGTTGACAATGAGAACCCTATGAAGTCTTTAAGTTCCTGTCTCAGGAGTCCCATCATATTCCAGATAGTTTCAATTCTGTATCCCCTTTCTTCCAACACCAGCAGACAGAAGAGTTCAACTAATGGACTTGGATTTGGCTAATTTTTAGTATAATGGTTTCCTCAATTACCAGTAATAGTTATAACTAAAACTTTTCTACTTTTAACTTAGATTTGTTTAACAATTAATTCATGCCTGCCCCTAGATGTGCTGCAGGTGAGGCTGCTGTGTCTCGGGTGCATCAGTAGGTGGCAGAGAGGGGAGAGGCTATGTCTATGCTCAGTGTTCTGACCTGTAAACATCTCAATGATTAGTAGCCTAACTACCCCTCACAAATGGGAGCCTTAGACTACCACCAGTTTGGTACCAGTGGCTCAGACAGGAGCTAGCCTGAGACAGCCACCACTCCAGTGCCATGCAGGCCATGACAGCGCAGAGGACCAGCAACAAGCCAGTGACCAGAACATCACTGGGTACTGAGGGTCTCTGGGCTGGAGTGAGTCTGAGACAGACCACCCTCAGATTGGCCCACTTGAGGGGATCAGGCAAGAGGCATGTCTGAGATGACTACCAGACTAGCTTCATGGGACTTGGGCAGGGAGATAGCCTGAGATGACCCCAGTCACCACACCAGGCATGTGTGTGGTACGGGGCTGGAGCAGGGGAGTGCAGACCATGCTCGAGATGACCCCTTCCTGGTGCCATAATGCTCGAGTGGTGCATAGCACTCCCGAGAGTACTCCTTAGATGACCCCAAACACTCAGAGACCCTATACACCTCTAAGAGGAACAAATAAGTGGTTGAGAAATGGAAGAGAAAGAGAAACAGAAGGATGTGGGCACAATGAAGATAGGCACAACTGTAATGAGGAAAAGCCTGATATGAATAGCAAGTGATACCACCTCAGACAATGGTGGGTTCCTGAACCATTCTGCCCCCAGGAAACACATCTAGGTTCTTGGGCCTGCAGCAGCAGACCCTGGGCATTGTATGACTTGTCGGTAAACTCGCCCAAAGGATATGAGCATGGAAGAGCTGGCCCTACTATTCATCTCCTGTGCAGTGCCATGGACAGGGAGAAATACACTTTTCCCTACTTGCCCCTGCCACCTGCTGCAGATGGGAGACCTGGCCCTGGAGTCAGGATGGCAGGAGAGCTAGCTCTGCCTTTCACCAGCTGCAGCACTCGGGAGAATGGGGCTTTTACCTCACCTGGGCAGCACAGGAGAACTGGATGTAGAGACTGTCGATGAGCCAGCTTGAGGGGTTGAGTATGGGAGAGCTGGTCCTGCCTCTTGTCTGCCGGGAGGTGGTGTAAACAAGGAAGAGATGTCCTCTTCCTTTCCCCTATCCCTTGACATCTGTGAAACACAGGGGACCTGGGCCCAGGTTCATGAGAGTGGAAGAACTGGCCATGTCCTTAACTCACTGAAACACTAGGGAGAGCAGGCCCTGTGCCTCTTCTGAGAAGTAGGGTAGAACTGACGCTTGTAATGGGGGTTGCTGGTGAGCTGGTCTTGAGGACATGAGAGTGGGAAAGCTTTATGGCTGACAATATCAGATACCAATCAGGCCCAGATCAAAGGTTTTGAATTGAACTACCCCAACATCTACCCCATGTGCAGGGGCTCGTTCTACAGATCCAAAACTACAGGATCTCCATGACATAGAGCAATAACAGTTTATCTGAAAGTAGTCCCATAGAGGTTCCCCTATTGATAGAGTGACAGAAGCCAGAGGCCTTGTACCAGACCAACTAGTCATTGCAATGAACATCTGCAAGCAAAGAAGTATAAACAGAAGTGTATACTGAGGGACACACTGTGGCACCCTACAGCTTCCACGTTTCTTTTTTTCTCATTTGGTGGGTATGGTTGCCAGGGTAGCAAGTGAGTTCATAGGGAAGGGAGATGAGTGGGATTGGGGTGCATGATGTGAAATTCATAAAGAACCAGGAAAACTTCCAATCAACATAGATGGAGAAAACAAAATAATATTCCATGACAAAACTAGACTTAAACAATATCTACACAGCATCCCAACCCTACAAAAGATACTTGGAAGGAAAACTCCAATCTAACAAAATCAGCAACAGACAAGAAAACAAAGAACATAGAAAACCTCATAACAAAAAATCAAAAGAAAACAAGCACACACACAAACACAACCAACTCCATAATAAAAGAAACTAACAATCATTGGTCACTAATATATATCAACATCAGTGAACTCAACTCTCCAATAAAAAGACACAGACTAACAAAATTGTTGTGTAAACAGGATTCAACATGTTCCTTTTTTATAATTTTTTTATTTTTATTTTTATTTTTTTATTAATTACACTTTATTCACTTTGTATTTCCCCATAAACTGCTCCCTCCTCCCCTCCAAATTCCACCTTCCCTCCCCCTTCTTCACGGATGTCCCTCCCCAAGTCAATTGAAGGAGAGGTCCCCTTATCCTTCCTTCTTATTTTAGTCTATCAGATCTCATCAGGAGTGGCTGCATTGTCATCTTTTGTGGCCTGGTAAGGCTGCTCCCCCCTCAGGGGGAGGTGATCAAAGAGCAGGCCTATTAGTTTATGTCAGAAGCAGTCCCTCTTCCCATTACTATAGAACCCACTTGGATACTGAACTGCCATGGGCTATATCTGTGCAGGGGTTCTACATCTGTGCTTGGAGTATGAGTCTCTGGGAAGACTCCTGTGTTCAAATTTTCTGGTTCTGTTGCTCTCCTTGTGGAGTTTCTGTCCTCTCCAGATCTTGCTATTTTCCACTTCTTACATAAGATTCCATGCACTCTGCCCAACAGTTGGCTCTAAGTCTCAGCATCTCCTTTGATAGTCCACCGGGCAGAACCTTCCAGAGGCCCTCTGTGACAGGTTCCTAACTTGTTTCCTGTTTTCTTCTTCTTCTGATGTCCATCCTCTTTTCCTTTCAGGATGGGGATTGAGCATTTTAGTCAGGGCCCTCCCTCTTGATTAGTTTCTTTAGATGTACAGATTTTACTAGGTTTATCTTATATTATATGTCTATATGAATGAGTATATAGTTACTGTGTGTGTCTTTCTGCTTCTGGGACAGCTCACTCAGGATGATCCTTTCCAGTTCCCACCATTTACCAGCAAATTTCATAATTTCCTTACTTTTCATTGCTAAGTAATATTACATTGTGTAGATATACTACAATTTCTGTATCTATTCTTTATTTGAGGGGCATCTGGGTTGTTTCCAGCTTCTGGCTACTACAAATAAAGCTGCTACAAATATAGTTGAACAAATGTCCTTATTGTGTACTTGAGCCTCTTTTGGATATATGCGTAGGAGTGGTACAGCTGGATCTTGAGGAAGCGCTATTCCTATTTATCTGAGAAAGCACCAGATTGATTTCCAGAGTGGTTGTACAAGTTTACATTCCCACCAGCAGTGGAGGAGGGTTCCCCTTTCTCCACAACCTCTCCAGCATGTGTTGTCACTTGAGTTTTTCATCTTGACCATTCTGGTGGGTGTAAGGTGAAATTTTAGGGTTGTTTTGATTTGCATGTCCCTAGTGGCTAATGAAGTTGAGCATTTCTTTAAGTGTTTCTCTGCCATTCGGTATTTCTCTATCAAGAATTCTCTGTTTATCTCTGTTTTCCATTTTTTAATTGGATTACTTGGTTTGCTGCTTTTCAGCTTCTTTAGTTCTTTATATATACTGGATATTAGCCCTCTGTCAGATAAAGGTTTAGTGAAGATTCTTTCCCAATCTGTAGACAGTCGTTTGGTTTTGATGACGGTGTCTTTTGCTTATAGAAGCTTTTTAGTTTCATGAGGTCCCATGTATTGATTGTTGCTCTTAGAGACTGTGCTGTTGGTGTTCTGTTTAGGAAGTTGTCTCCTGTACCAATGAGTTCTAGGGTTTTCCCCACTTTTTCTTCTAACCGATTTACTGTGTCTGGTTTTATGTTGAGGTCTTTGATCCACTTGTACTTTAGTTTTGTGCAGGGTGATAAGTATAGATCTATTTGCATTTTTCTACATGTAGACCTCCAGTTGGACCAGCACCATTTGTTGAAGATGCTATCTTTTTTCTATTGTATGGTTTTAGCATCTTTGTCAAAGATCAGTTTTCCATAAGTGTGTGGGTTTATTTCTGGGTCTTCTGTTCAGTTCCATTGATCCACCATTCTGTTTCTATGCCACTACCATGCAATTTTTATTACTGTTGCTCCATAGCACAGCTTAAGATCAGGGATGGAGAGACCTCCAACATGGTTCTTAAATGCAGCAGAAACCACAGCCTTCACAATATCCAAAAATTACACCTTGTTGTGACTCTAACCAAAAAAGTGTGAAAGACTTGTATGAAACAAACAAAAAAACAAACAATTTCTAGTCCCAGACAAAAGAAATTGAAGAAGATATAAGAAGTTTGAAAGATCTTCCTTGCTAATGGATTGGTAGGATTAACGTAGTAAATATGGCCTCCTACCAAAAGCAATCTACAGATTCAATGAAACTCCCATCGAAATATGAAAACTATTCCTTCCAGACCTTGAAAGAAAATTTCTTTTTTTTTTTTTGTATTTTATTTTTTTCTTATCAGTTACATTTTATTAACTCTGTACCCCAGCCGTGTCCCGATCCCTCATTCCCTCCCAGTCCCTCCCTCCCTCCCTCCTCTCCACCGTGCCCCTTGCCAAGTCCACTGATAGGGGGGACCTCCTCCCCATTCATCTGATCCTGTTTTATCAGGTATCTTCAGGACTGGCTGCAAAGCTCTCCTCTGTGGCCTAACAGGACTGCTCCTCCCTTGGGGGGTGGGGAGGACAAAGAGCCAGCCATTGAGTTCCTGTTAGAAATAGTCCTTGTTCCCCTCACTATGGGAAACCAATTGGTTACTGAGCTACCACAGGCTACATCTGAGCAGAGGTTCTAGGTTACATTCATACATGGTCCTTGGTTGCATGTCAGTCTCAGAAAAGACCCTGTGCCCAGATATCTTTGGTCCTTGTGGAGCTCCTATCCTTTCCTCATCAGACTAACTCCCCTTCTTTCTTATGATTCCCTGTACTCTGCCAAAGGTTTGGTCATGAGTCTTTGCTTTGAAAACACTGCTAGTTAGAATCTTTCCAATGCGCTCAGTAGACTCCTGTCAATGTTCAATGCGCATCCCATCTGTCTTTCAAAACGAGGATTGATAATCTTACCCCATGTCTGCTCTCTTGATTGTCTTTTTTAGGTGTATAGATTTCATTATGTTTATTATATCTTATAGGTCTATATAAGTGAGTATATACCGTGTTTGTCTTTCTCCTTCTGGGATATTTCACTCAGGATGATC